GGCCCTAGGCCTTAGGGTTTAAGGCCTAAGCCTTAAACCCTAGAACTCTGCACCCTAACCCAAACACTAAATCTCAAACACGCATACCTGGTTTTCACATCGCTCCTGAGAAGACGTTCCCTTGACGATAGAATAGGGAGGTGCTGTCTGTCGTACTATGGTATAAAACATCAAGATTGGAAGAAACGGACTATCATAATGTAGAGGAATAATATTCATAAACTTCAGGCTTCTACCCTAAACCCCCTAAGCCCTTAAACCCTAAACTACAGCCCAGACAAAATGTAAGCTTCATGTCTGACGAAGAACTCTGTGATCGACCGAAACCCTCAAAATGAAGATTGTCAGACTTCTGTACTACGTGGCACCTACGGGTTAACCCTTAGGTACCTAAATGGGAGTCCCAAAGGGTTAAGGGTCTACTGGGGGCATTTGGGGGCATTTATGTTTGTCGGCCTGGGGTTGTCATTATTAAAGGGAAAGGAGAGGACTAGAAATGAAATCACTGAAGTGGGCTGACGATTTTTGTTCGGGTCTGCAAGTTCGACTTAAGGCTATGGGTTTAAGGATTTCAAGGTTTAGCGCTTTAATTAGCCTTCATCCTAAAAAATGAGGAAGCCCAATGGCAGCCCTGCAAAAACTAGCGCCGTCTTGAAAAGGGCAACATAATTGATCCAGACAGCTTTAACGTGCGGAGTTATCAGGTGGGCTTATATGCGGAGACCAAGAGGTATGTACAGCTGGCTGCACAAAGCTCGTAGGTGGATCCTCACCCCTAGACCCCTAAATCCTAAACGTTAAGCTGCTAAACCTGCAAGGTTCTATCCCAGTGTGGACTAGCCTGCAGTCTCTCCAGCTTTCGCAGGTGAGCTGCATAATGATCCTGGCTTCAGCGGGGTGTGGGCCTCAGGGTTTAGGGTTTATGCATGAGGATTTTGAGAGTTTAGAAATTAGAGTTGAGGGTTTAGAGTTAAGGAGAGCTTGAAAGAGCTGAGTGGTCCAGCTTACTCACTGGTGCTTTAGCGTGAGTGTGGCAATGGATCCCCATAAGTATGCACGCAAAATCCACATGTATTCACTTTAAGCGCCAGTACGTTCAGGCGTAGATGTCGGCAGAAGCGTGCCTGCTTACAACTACCCACCCAACAAGGCAGGTGCTGAAAAAAGGTTCGAGGTATGTTGCTTTCACTCGCGGACCTTTCCTTTTCCTTGTTTGCGTTTGGTTAGGGTTCAAGGTGGAGGGTCCATGAGTTCATCTGGTTGGGGTGATGGTCTCCCCACTTTCCAAAGAGCATTACATCCAATCTGACAGGCTATGAACGATGCAACTGACACTTGCTCAGGGCTCTCCAAACCCCAAGCATAAATTACGCCATTATTCTAAGGATGCCCTAGGGGTTACCATGTATGCATGTTAGGTTAATTTTGCTAAATCTCCTGAACGGCAACCCCTTAAAGCTTCAACTCCCCACTCCAAGCTCCCTAAACCCTGAACCCTAAACCAGCACGCGTGAACATAATGTAACACAAATGGAGCCGGGATACTGGTACTTAGACCCTAAACCCTAAACCCTCGTGTTGAGAAGGAGCAGGCTTCCTCGCATAATCTTCTCAGGGGGGGGCCTTGGGCATCACAAGCCCTAAGCCCTCCCTAAGGTCCCCAAAAGTCTGCCAAAGTGGGACCCCTATACCTCAGAGCTTGCATACGTACGGGCCAAAAAAACATAAGGACCTAGATGGACCGGCACATGTGCTTGGAAATGCTAGGGAAACGCAGTATGAGACCAAATGTTACAGGATGGGGAGGGACGGGATCCCTGTAAATGGTCCGTTATCCAAGGGAAAACTTAACCCTTGCTGCGGCAAAACTACGATTTAAGAAGCCTGTGTCTGCAAAACTTTCTCCCGTGCCATACTGTGGTAATCCGAAAAACTCGAATATGGATGTTATGGTTCCGGCATGGATGCTTTGGTAATCGGAAGCACTCGAATGTGGATGTTGTTTGTGGTTCCGGCATGGCTGCCGCGCAGTGCAAGCTTCAAGAATGAGTTGTTGCGCAGACACTTTGCTGGAAACTGTGCCGGGGAGCGTGGCCCCACATGGCACCCAAGCGCCACTCTCGTCTGGAAAGGGGCTTCAAGGCATGAAAGATACAATGCCCAAGAAGCTGGGCATGTGCAAAAGCTGAAAGTTTGCAGAATACGGCTGGCACACACCGGGCGTCCTCACCTATAACCTTTCCCGAGAAGGGCATAGATATCCCCTGAAAACGCTTATGATTCTCTCTTGCCAAATTCCCAAATAACAAGTGTGTCCTTGAAGCAGCACTTCAGCGCCAATCTTAGGGTTTTCTTGCTGATTCATGATGAGGAATGGGACATGACATGAACAGCCAAATGGAACATGAGATGCAAACCTGGTGTTATAGAGGCATTTAGGCCTCATGCTGATAATAACACCGCAACCCATAAAATTAAATGTTTGCCCACCAGAGTTCCGGGGTGGGAGTGGCTAATGTTAGTATGAAGCGTTTCACATGGAATGTAGGCAGGGGAATAACATGAAACTATCATTTTCTTGGTGATTGCGTAAAAGTTAGGACAAGATTATGACCCAAACGTGCTGGGTAAAGGATTTAGGGTTGAGGGTCTGGAGTTCCTGAAGACAAAGGGGAGCAGGGTTTAGGGTTTTAGGGGTTTAGGCTTTAGGGGAAGGTCAGAAGCGAAGTGTCACTTCATGGCACGTACCGGCCTAAAGCTGTGACCGTAGACACTGTGCCCTGGGCGTTGTTCCAAATAATAGTGAACCCTTTTGGCGGTAACGAATATAGTATGGAGCAGATTGGAAAATGGGGCACAAATTCGAACAACCACAAATCTCCAACCCTGAATCTTCAAACCCAACTCCAAGGCCCTGAATCCCCCAACACGAGCCCAACAGCCCCAGTTGAGAAGGCAGGAACAGGCCGGTTGAGCGTACTTTTGCTTCATTTCCTGGCAATGAAGAATTTAGGGTTTAGGGTTTAGGGACTGGGCTGGATTCTGGGCTTGTCCCCCCCTCACAATGTTTAAGGAAAATTTGAGGGTGCGCGATGGGTACCTTACATACGCCTTACCCTAAACCTACACGCCTAAACCTAAACCCTAAACTCTAAAAACCTTCTGTGAGGCTCAGATGAGAAGCCTGCGAGGTATGTAAGGGACATGGAAAGCGTACCTGGGGAAAGCTACCCCTAGGGTTGAGAGTTGAGGGGTAGGGTTTAGGGTTTACGGTGTACGAACTTCGAGGATTTTTTGCGAGGCCTGAAATTTCCTCAGACAAACTCGTGTGGAACTTCAGGCTTCATGGAGACCTTCTTAAACATGGGCCTATATGGGGTTCCGTAACTACCTTGAGAGAGGGTATAGCCAGTGTAGGAGTCGAATGGAGTCTACAGCCCAGACCCCCTAAAGGATCCCAAAAAATGGAACCATGGAACCTTTTAAAGGGTTTTATAGGGGTCTATATAGGGGTATATAGGGTTTAGGGATTAGGGTTTAGGGATTAGGGTTTAGGATCCAAAAAATGGAACTCCCCCCCAATATGAACCCATGGCTACATTGGGGAA